TTCTGAGAGGCTGGGAATCTAAGCGGTTCCCAATACGTGTTCCTTCACCAACGGCCCCAGACAGGTTCTCTTCCTGTGTGTGCATTTCATGTATTTTTCGTATCCTCCTTTTTGTTGGTACTTTGTGTAGCAGAAAGAGCCTGGATTTTGGTGTTCAAAAAGCCATTAAAACCCTCTTTAAAATCTCAGAGCCTCAGAGGTCTCATTCTTAAAATGGGTGGAAAATGCTGGCTCAGAGGGTTCTTAAGGACCACAGTACCTGGCTTTGGCATATTGTAACCGTCTGACAAGGTACAGCAAAGTGTTAGTATAGTGTGCCAAAGTAAGAGTAATTAGGTTCTGAGCAAGGGCCTATCTGATTAATAATAACCATAATAGCCAACGTTTCCGCCTCTCAAACTGCAAAATATGGTAATTTTTAAATGGTTCACCCCAATATTATTATCGCCCCCATTTTATAGAGGAGGAAAGTGGGGGCTTATAACCTCGAGAGAGTTGAGAAGCTGCCTGAGGCGCACAGCTCTTCACTGCAGACCCCATGGGTTTGTTTTTTTTTTTTTTCCACCCTGGTAAATCTCTTTTGATGGAAAGATCTAGAAAAGATTTCGGCATCACCCCTCCCCTCTGTTTTCCATCAAGCTTTGTTCTCTGAACCAAAAACTGGGCCACGCAGCCTGACCGAGCTTCTGGGCTGCCCCTGAGTGTGAGGAGCTGCCAACATGTTAGAATTTCTGGGACACGTCAGTGGTTCAAGAGGATAAAGGGATGGAGGCTTATGAAACCAAGAATGACCTGGAAAATCTGGGCCGTGGGGTCGGTGGAACTGACCAGAAGGCTGACTGTGCCGGGCGCTGCGTATCAGGGAAGTCAGGGAGATAGAAGAGAGGATTGTGGGCTTTGGAGACTCAAATCTGAGCTCCTCCTTGGCTGTGTGACCCTGGAAAGTGTCTTCCCCTCTCTGGGCCTCCATTTACTGATGGGGGTAATGACAGCCCTCTGCCAGGCTATTGGGAGGATTGGCAAAATACACATGAGGGGCTTGGACTAGAGATCGGTACACAGTAGGTGCTTAATCCACAGTGACTGGAACCGTCAGTCATGAGGGAGGTGATACTTGAGCTGCATCTGGACGGGTAAGTTCGTCAGGTGGAGAAGGGTGGTGCAGGGCACTCCTGGCAGCCCCATGCCAAGGCCTGCAGGGAGGAAAGCACAGGGAAGGAGAGGAAAGACCAGGCCATGCCTGTCCTTAAAAGTGAGGCCTGGGGACTGGGGCCCTGGGAAGCCACAGGAGGGCTGGGAACAGGGGAGGGGCAGGGTGAGCTCTGGGTGTGAGGGACTGGAGGCAGGGAGGCCGGGGAGGAGGGTGAGGCGAGGGTCCAGAGGGAGAGGACAAGGCCTGGCCAGTGCTAGGGGCTGTGGGGACACAAAGGGGGGGATATGGCAGAGAGTTGAAGCAGGAGAGACTGGGCTGTTGACTGACAGGGGCAAGAGGGGGAAGGGGCAAGGGGAGGTTAGGCCGGGCCAGGAGTCTGGCTGTTCTGGGATGGGGACCTGGGGTGGGGGGCAGTTTGGGGCGCAGACCAGTCGACACCCGTTTCAAACCTGAAAGAGGGTGACTCTCCATAAGATGCTGGACTGACCTCTGCCCCCTGCTGTGACCTCTGACCCAGGCCCACCCCTTCCCTCCCACCCACAGAACCCTCCAAAACCCCACACTGTCAAAAACCTTCAGAGGCCATAGCCCAACCCTTCGGCTTGGAGGTGAGGAAACTGAGGCAAAGAGGCAGAATCACCCAGATTCCAGGTCTGGGTTGGGAGTCAGGCAAATGAACTCTGGGACTGATGCTCCTTCCTGGTCTGGGCTCCCCTCCCTCCGCTGACTCATCCCCTGACCCCTCTCCCCTGCCCCCAGGATCTCCACAGTTCCGTGCAGCGCATCTGTCAGTTCCTGGGCCGGCCGCTGGGCGAGGAAGCGCTGGAGTCCGTCGTGGCGCACTCGGCCTTCAAAGCCATGAAAGCCAACACCATGTCCAACTTCTCCCTGCTGCCCCCCAGCCTGCTGGACCAGAGCCATGGTGCCTTCCTCCGGAAAGGTGAGGGGACTCTGGAGTTCCAAGCCCCGTTAGGCCACTGCCTGGCTGTGTGTCTTGGGCCAGTTATTTAACCTCTCTGGGCCTGTCTCCCCAGCTGTTACATGGGGATGCTCCAACAGGGCTGCCTTCATGGGGTCACTGTGGACCCATGAATCCACACACAGGGCTTAGCACGGGGCCTGGCACACAGCTGGTGCTGCGGATGTGCCTGCCGTCTCAGACCCACCACTCCCAGAGAGCTCCCCGTGGGAAGAAGACGCATCAGGGCGTTGCCATAGCCAGCTCTGAACGCTGTGAGGCTATCTGGAGTCCTTGGGAATCCTTCTTAGCATTAAAGTTCACCCCAGAAATATTCAAGTGTTGGGTTACAGGCTGAGGGTGGGAGTGTATTAGTTTTCTATTTCTGCTGGAACCAAATACCACAAACTGTGTGCCTTAAAAAACCACACACATTCAGGGCATTTCCTGGCAGTCCAGTGGTTAGGACTCACTGCCGTGGCCCCGGGGTTGGGGAACTAAGATCTCGCACGGTGCAGCCAAAAAAAGAAAAAAAAAAAGAAAAGATTAAAAAGAAAACCACACACATTCACTCCCTTACCATTCTGGATGTCAGAGGTCCAAAATCAGCCTCACTGGGCTAAAATTAAAGTGTCAGTACCGTGTTCTTTCTGGAGACTCTAGGGGAGAATTGGTTCCCGGCCTTTACAGTTTCCAGACCCGCCTGCATCCCTTGGCTCGTGGCCCCTTCCTCCACCTTCAAAAACATCTTCTACTCTCTGACGCTGACCCTCCTGCATCCTCTTATAAGGATGTTTGCCATTAAGCGTCAAGATCTTTAACTTAATCACATCTGCGAAGTCCCTTTTGCCGTGTCAGGTCACATATTCATAGGTTCTAAGGGTTAGGTCGTGGACATCTTGGTGGGAGCTCATTATTCAGCCCACCACAGGGAGCCCCCCAGACCTCACTAGGGGTGTCATGTAATGTGGTATATTTGTTAAAATTCAAAATACTGTGATCCACGGGGAGGGGGAAGGGTAAGCTGGGATGAAGTGAGAGAGTGACATGGACATATATACACTACCAAATGTAAAATAGCTAGTGGGAAGCAGCTGCGTTGCACAGGGAGATCAGTTCCGTGCTTAGTGACCACCTAGAGGGGTGGGATAGGGAGGGTGAGAGGGAGGGGATATGGGCATACATGTATACATATAGCTGATTCACTTTGTTATACAGCAGAAACCAACACAACATTGTAAAGCATTTATACTCCAATAAAGATGTTAAAAAAAAAAATACTGTGATCCAAATGACTTTGGCCCCAGGATTCCAGGTAAAGGCTAGTGGCCCTGGTTATCCCATGCGATAAGAAACTTGAGGGATCTGAGTGCTCACCTCGGGGCACAGAGAACTAGCAAAGTCATGCCCCTTACCTTCTCGGTTGCTGTGAGGGGCTAAGGAGTGAATCCTGGCAAACCGCCAGCATGCACTTTCCCCACTAAGTGCAGGGAAAGCACTGGTTCCCAGTGTCAGAGCAATACTGAAGGTAGTGGAGGCGTTGGAACACTGGAGCGAGGAAGCCCTGTTCTAGCAAGGGAGGTGAGGGACAGGGCACAGGGGAGGTGATACAGGGGCTGGGAAGGATGTGCAGGAATGCTAGGTGAGGAGGCGGATGTTCTGGGTAGAGATTTAAGAGGTCGGTGGAGGAAGGTAGGAGGTCTGCTGGAGGGAGGAGTAGGGCAGGAGGAAGCTGAGGGAGGGAGGGGGCAAGAATGGCGCCCAGGGGTCTGGCCAGGCGACTGGTTGCCAGTGTAAGTAAGTGTCAGCCATCATCGCAGGAGGGAAAGGGGTTAAAAATGGAGATGGAGGGGGCCGGGGGAAGGCCAGCGCTTCTTGCAAAGGGAACGCCATAGGCAAAGGACAGGAGGTGGGAAAGAAGGTGCTGGGATCTTGGGGGCGGGGGACGATGCTCTGGATACTCCTCACCTCGGCCGTCCCTCCCTTCCCTCCAGGGATCTGCGGTGACTGGAAGAACCACTTCACGGTGGCGCAGAGCGAAGCCTTCGACCGAGTCTACCGCGAGCGGATGCGGGGGCTGCCGACCTTCCCCTGGGACATGGACCCCGAGGACGCCGGTCCGGACCCCGACCCCAGTCCCGACCCGAGTCCCAGCCCAGACCAGGCCTCCGAGCCACCCCATCCGTGACCCTGAGAATAAACGCATCGCTACTGCCCCGGCTCCTCGATGCGCCTTGGAGGTGGCGTGCCGCAGGCGGGCGGCAGGGGGCGCGCGAGGGCGGACGGGGCGCCTCTGCCGGCCACCGAGGCCGGGGTGGGGACACGAGCAGGGCACCCAAGGCCTGGGGAGGGCGAGGTCCGCTAACCCACCTGGCACGCCAGTGGGGTCGGTGATTCAGAAGCCTCTCCCAGAGGCAAAGGTGGGGGAAGGGAGGCCAGCACTGGGCACCTGACCCCCCTAGGGTCAGGGTGCTGCAGCCCAGACCCCTGGATCCTTGGGAAGCAGAGTGATGCCGACCAGGGCCCCTGGCTCCTTGGGGAGGAGGGTGTTGGCGCCCCGGACTTCTGGGTCTGAGGGAGTAGGGGGGTCAGGTCTGGACTCCTGGGTCTCCAATGAGACTGTGGAAATGCAAGTTTCTGGCACGAAGCAGCTTTATTCTGAGCAGGGGTAAAAGGCAGCCCTAACAGCTCCCCCCTTAGCGCCCACAAAACAGTTCCAGCACCTGCTGGGTCCCTCTCCATGGCCCTGACCTGTTCCCCAACAGGCGTATCCTCACCAATTTCCGGTCCCTCATGATTCAGCTCGGCTCCCCTGGTCGGGTTCTCTCCTCTCCCCGGCCAAGCTCAGTTTACCCACAGCTCCCGAGCATGGCAGGTGCAGGAAGCCTCCCCTCAGCCCCAGGGACGCCCCATCTTCACTCCACACAATTCCAGCATGGGGGCCACTCAGCCAGGCCTCTCCTCAGAGAAGTTCTGACCTGGCCGGAACACGATGTGTGCTGTTCTAGGATGCCAGCTAGTGGAGACCTTATGCCCATTTTCTAGGCTGTGACAATGAGGTCTAGAGTGAGCACCGGGCTTGTCCAAGTTCTAGAACAAGTGAAAAGAAAAGAAAAAACAAAAAAAATCCCTTCCACTTCCCAGACACTGAGGTCAGAGCCTTGTTCAAGGTACAACAGTGAGGCAGGGGGGCTTTGAGCAACAGTTGTCCGACTGTCTTGGGACGGGGCCAGCCCCATTTGGCTTCGGCTCCTGTCAGCGCCGCCCCCTGAGTCCTGGCTGGGCGGCCCGGTCTGGCTGCCGGATGCCTCTGGGTTCTGGGAGTTTGGAGGCAGCATCTTCACCAAACCGCCTTCGGGTCGGGGACGGATGGTGGAGGCGGCGGGCAGGGATGAGAGGCAAGGGGCCACCCCAGGGCTGGGACGGGGCCAGCGGACCGGAGTCCGCCTCACCACCGGGGGCCCCTCCAGCGCCCCGCTGCCTCATCAGAGCCTTGGCTGGGGTGTCCTTGGAGCCCCAGAACTTCTTGAGCTGTGGAGGGAAAGAGAGGGAGGTGAGAGGAGGCACTTGGGGGCCCAGAGGAGGAAGGAGGTGAGACCGGAGGGAGGTGATGACGGAGGGGAGGGTGTGAAACTCCGAGGGGTCTCCAGAACCAGGAAGGAAGTGAGTGGGGAGGCCAGGGACGCCCAGACCTACAGAAGGGGCAAGGAGCTGCGTCCCCATGCGCAGCTTTGCAGTGGGGAGGAACAGGAAGCAGCCGGCAGCTTCATGGGGGGAGCAAATATTTGCCAAGGGAGTTGATGCTGGATGAGGGCGGCTCAGGATGGGGGAGAAGTGAGGACCTGGCCCTTGCCCATCCCTCTTCTCCCCTTGACCCGGGTGGAGGGAGATGATTCCTGGGACTTTCTCCCTCACTCTCCAGAGAGTCCTTGAGCTCCCACTTAGCAGATGGGGAAACTGAGGCTCAGAGGGGGCACAGCTCGCAGAGGAACTGACCCCAGGTCTGTCTGGATCCAAGGAGAATCCACCGGTTTCTCCCACGTGGCTCTGCTCTTACCCTCTCCATAGCCCACTTCACAGTTGAGGACACTGAGGGCCCGCCCAGGGTTCCCCAGAGAACTGGGGCAGGCTCTGCTGGAACCCCAGTGTCTAAGCAGCTGGGGGAAGGGAGGGGAAACCCCCCTGACCTTCCCTAATCCCCTCCCCAATACCCCTAGCACACTCGAATCTAGGAAGCCAGCAAGCAGAGCATTTAAAAGTCTTGCCTGGGAGGCAACCAGGGCTAAGGTCCAATTCCTCCCTGGTGCCTCAGTTTCCCCATCTGTGAAATGGGTGGGTGGAGAGCTGTAATCACATCCACCTCATAGGGTTACATTTAACCACCTCTGCGAAAGCGCTTGGCACGGGGCCTGGCACGTGGCAAGGTGCCCGCAAAAGATCGTTGCTTTGACTTGGGCAAGTTAAACACAACCTCTCTGAGCCTCAGCTTTCCCATCCATAAAAGTGAGTGTAATAAGAGTATCGCTTCATTGCCCTGGGAAGATATCAGGAAATCAAAATAAATTCCACTTTGGGAATTTATTGTAATGATGGTGATTATTCTATTTCTTTCGATTTCATTGACTCCTCCTCCCAAGCAAACTGAGGATGGGGACACTAGCTCAGCCCATTTCCTTGATGAGAACACTGAGGTTCAGAGAAGGCATTTCTCCCCCTCCCACGCCCGGAGCTCTCACAGTTGGTGTATCTTGCCAGGTTTCACACCCAGGGCTCTCGGGGTCTCTGCCCAGTGTTACCAGGCGCTCCCCTGCCCAGCACACAGTAGGGATACAGGAAGTGGACGATGCGATTATGAACGCAGGGGAGCAGTTTTGTTTTTCCCCGCCCCACCCCACCCCCGGGGCCAGGCATATCGCAGGCGCTCACATGCCTCTATCCTCTTCCAGCTATTCTCTCTCAGGCCAGCCACCAGGTCTCACCTCATTGTCACCGTCACTAGAGCCTGACAGCTGGGACAGGCGGCTCAGGTCCCATAGGGAGCGGCTGTGCTGGGCGAGGGGGCCACTGGGGGTCCAGGCTCGCTGTACACTCCTCAGGATGTCGCTAAGAGCTGGCCCTGGCTTGGCCAGGGTCTCCTGCCTGTCCCCCTCGAAGACTCGGCAGGCGGCCAGGCGTTGGGCCAGCGAGCCATCAGGCAGTGGTGGCGGCAACAGGGGGGCCACGGAGCAGCGGCGGGCCACGTGATGCGGGCTGTAGGCCAGCTGCAACCCCCCCAGGGCTCTGACAAAGGGACCCGGGGTGGGCGCGGGCGGGAGCGGCCAGGAGGCCGCATAGAGTGTCCGGAACTCTCGGCTGAAGGCATCGGCGATCTCACCGGTCAGCAGGGTCACCAGGCCACGGTGCAGGCGTGAGTCACTCCATGTGAAGCTGGGGGGCACAGAGGTGGGGGTCAGGATCTCCAAGCATCCCCAGAAGCCTGGTCTGGCCCCCATCACCAGGCCCCAACCTGGTCCCAGGGCGGGCTCTGTGACCTCCGCCAAGTCCTGCCATCCCTCTGGCCTCAACATGCACCTCTGTAGAATGGGAACAATGAAGTACCTACCCCAGAGGGTTGATGTGAAGACCACATCAGTTAACATACTTAAATGATCATCTGGAATCAGACTTGAGTTTAAACCTGGCCTCTGCCTTGTCCCCATGGAGGGATGCCTCAGTTTCCCCCTCTGGAGAGAGATGGGATTCTGACACCCTCAGGGACTGAAGACTCAGCTGCTTCCTACAGTGATTGCCATTTATTAAGTGCTTGCTGTGTGCCAGGCTCTAGGTGTGCCTGCTCCCTGCCTCAGTTTGTTCATCTGTAATATGGAGCTAAAACGTAGGAAGATTAGAATCAGAGAACATGGGTCAGGCCTCCGGCCCGGGGCCTGGTAGGTGCCCAGCATTAAAAGCCTGCGAGCTGTGGTGAGCTGTGCCCTTACTATCGCTGTGACCACAGTGGCTGTGACTTAAAGCATTGAGCACAGGGCTTGGTACACAGCAGGTGCTCAGTAAATGCTCTCTTGAATTAAATGAACCTGGACCCTTGTCCTGGCTCAGGGGACCTTGGACATATCAATTTTCCTTCCTGAGCTTCACTCGGTTTGCCCATCAGAAAAACAGGCTCGCCCCGGGCTGTGTATCTTGCACGTGGCGGGACAGCACCCAGCGCCCGGCAGAGCGGATGAGTTCGCAGCCGAGATGATGAAAGTTGGTCTGAGCTTCCTTACCTAGGTGGAGCGGCAGTGTCCTTGCTCCCGGGCAGGTCGGCCGGCCAGCCTGCCCCTCAGATTGTGACACCCCTCCCCCACCTATGACCTCACCCCCAGAGCAGTCAGTGGGAACCCTGGGTGGGGTCTGTGAGGTCACCCCATTCCGCTCCACAAAGTCTCTTGTCAGGCAGCGGCCACTGGCTCATCTCCATCCCGGTGGAGTTTCTGAGACCCAAGGACCGGAGAGCCGTGGTCACAACAGAGCTTCCGAGAGGGATGCAGAGCACTGGGAACCGAGGACACGCCAGGTGCTGATCCTGGGAGACCAGAACCAGGGGTACAAGCCTTGCGGGCGTGAGGAGTGCCATTCAGCAGTTCCGGGAGGCCCAGGAAGCCTACTGCCTGGCTTGGGCACCGTCACCGCCGCCAGGCCACCATGGTCCTCGGCTGGCTGCTGCTTCTGGTGATGGCTCTGCCCCCAGGCACGACGGGCAACAAGGACTGCGTCTTCTGTGAGCTGACCGACTCCACGATCTGTCCCAGCATGCACATGCGCTGTGGTGATGACGAGGACTGCTTCACGGGCCATGGGGTGGCCCCCGGCGTCAGCCCCATCACCAACAAAGGCTGCGTGCCGGCCACCTCGTGTGGCCGCGAGGAGCCCGTCAGCTACATGGGCGTCACCTACAGCCTCACCACCAACTGCTGCACCGGCCACCTGTGTAACAGGGCCCCCCACCCCACAGGCGGCCGGATGGCACGGGCCACCACCGGCCTGGCGCTGGGCGCGCTGCAATTGCTCCGACATTTGCTGTGACCAACCTGGAGGGCAGGGCCCAGGACTGGTCTCCCGCCTGCGCTGCCCCCCCATGCCCCCTGCCTCCATCCCCTTCCCCTGTCAAATGGCCAGAGGCCCTGGACAACCCCTTGTGGCCCTGGCCTCATCGTTCTAGGGCTGTCACCAGAGCCCAGCGCCCGGCGAAGCATCCTCAAGCCTGATTTAGTGGTGGGGAACCAGGCCCTATGGGTTTGACTGTGCTGTTGTATTTCATTGGTTCTAAGATGCGTATCATTTCACATTCTGATCAGGATGTTTCTTTGCTTTGGTGGTACCTTAGAGTCTATGAAATATGGTAAAAAACAAATAATAAACGACAGCTGACGTTTATGGAGCACTTCTTATGTTCCATGCCAGGCATCGTTATCTCATTGAATCCCCAAGTGAAGCTGGGAACGCGGATTCTCTTCAAAACCTCCCAGTCTTGGGAATTCCCTGGCGGTCCAGTGGTTGGGAATCTGCGCTTTCGTTGCCAAGGGCCCGGGGTTCAATCCCTGGTTGGGGAACTAAGATCCCGCAAGCTGCGTGTTGCAGACAAAAAAAAAAGAAAAAAAGGGCTTCCCTGGTGGCGCACTGGTTGAGAATCTGCCTGCTGATGCAGGGGACACGGGTTCGAGCCCTGGTCTGGGAAGATCCCACATGCCGCGGAGCAACTAGGCCCGTGAGCCACAACTACTGAGCCTGCGCGTCTGGAGCCTGTGCTCCGCAACAAGAGAGGCCGCGATGAAGAGGGGCCCCCGCTCGCCGCAACTAGAGAAAGCCCTCGCACAGCAACGAAGACCCAACACAGCCAAAAATAAATAAATAAATAGATAGATAGATAGATAAAAGAGCCAAGCATTTGAAGCCCTTTAAAAAAAAAAAAAAAAAAACAACCCCCCAGTCTCGGTGCTAGCGGTTCTCAAAGTGTGGTCCCTGGGCTAGCAGCATCAGTATCATCGACCGGGAACTTGCTAGAAATGCCAATTCTCGGGCCCCATCCCAGCCCGGCTGAAAAGGAGCAGGGCTCAGAAATCTGTTTGCTTTTTTTTTTTAACAAGTCGTCCAGGTGATTCTGATGCCTGCTCAAGGTTCAAAGCCAGCAGCCTAGAGCAAAGGTCATCAAGTGGGCACTTCCGCCCCTCAGGGGGCACCGGGCAAAGTCTGGAGACGGTTTGCGTAGTTGTACTTGGGGAAGGGGGAACGCTACCAGCATCTCCTGGGTAGAGGGCAGTTCAGCCCAGGAAAGCCCCCCCACAGCACAGAGTCCTCCGGTTCCGAATGTGAGTAGTGCCTCCGTTGAGAAACCTTGCTGTAGACGCACTCACTGAACCATCCCATTGTCTAGAGGGCGAAACTGGGGCACAAAGAGGGGAAGTCAGTTATGCAAAGTCACACAGCCAGTAACTGTCCGAGCTAGGATTTGACCCCAGGCCATCTGACCCGGAGTCCACGTGCCCCCTGACATGCTGTTCCCAGGAAGTAAATGCTGCTATTTTCACACTTTCCAGATGGGAAAACTGAGGTTCAGAGTGGGGAAGGCCCAATGTCACAGAACTAAGAAGTCACGGAGCCAGGTTCCAGGGTCAATCAGACCCCAAAGGGAGCAGAGGAGGGACATGAGATGGTCTGAGGGCTGGGCCATTTGCATACCAGCTCTGATTTTTTTTTTTTTTTTTTTTGAGGTACGCGGGCCTCTCACTGTCGTGGCCTCTCCCGTCGCGGAGCACAGGCTCCGGACGCGCAGGCTCAGCGGCCATGGCTCACGGGCCCAGCCGCTCCGCGGCATGTGGGATCTTCCCGGACCGGGGCACAAACCTGTGTCCCCTGCATTGGCAGGCGGACGCTCAACCACTGCACCACCAGGGAAGCCCCCGCTCTGATTTTTGTACAGATGCTCAGAGAGGTGGAGTTGCTCACCCAAGGCAGAGCTCAGACTTCAATCCAGGTTCCCCTGGCTTGGAAACTCCCACACACCAAGTGAGAGCCCAGTTTTCCAGATGAGGAAACACAGGGGTCACAGAGATGAAGACTTACCCCCAAGCCACTAAACAGCCCAGCAGCAGGGCCAGTGCCAGCCTGTTCTGCTACAGGACGCCTCCTCTCCCGAGCAGGAGGTTTAGACCCATTTTACAGATGAGGAAAGAGAGTCTGGGAAAGGGGTTGCCAACTGCTGTCTGAAACCACTGAGGGACAGTTGGGGACAGGAGACCGGGCAGTGTGGTGGTGGTGGGGGTAGCCGCACCTGTAGGATCCTGAGATGACCCTCTCGCCGTCCAGCAGCACAAACTTTTCCCGGACATTGCCGCTCACCTGCCGACACCAACGGCTCTGGAAACTGCAGCCCCGCACGACTCGGATGTCCAGGTTCTGGGGTGGGGGAGGCACGCCTTTGCTCAGGCCGACCCCCCAGACCTCCACCCAGTGCCGAGGGCTCAGGATCCCTACAGGCTGGTCTTAGCTAAGTGGCCCATGACTCTCTGGAAGGTTCTGTCCCAGCTTCCCCAGGGCCTCAGGGGTCTGCTGCAGATATTCCTGACTCAGAGGGACCCCATGAGAAGGCTGACCCCAGTTTCACCCCTGTCATGGGCATCACATCTCAGGGGACCCTCTCAGCTGGCATCCACCTCGATGACCCAGGGTCCCATGGAAGGGTCTTCGTCTGATGCTCCCAGTGCCAGGGCACTGGGGACTCAGGGGTCCCTCCTGCCAGGCCCCTACCTCAGTGGCCCAGGGGTTCACCCCCAGTTGCTGGGCCAGAATCAGGAAGGCAGGCAGCTGCTGGTGGTCTAGGAGCAGGTAGACGGGCACCCAGCGGCGTGTGGCAGCATCCACCAGGTCCGAAAGCAGGTCTGGATCAGTGAAGACATCCATGACCACGGCCACCAGCTGAGGGTGGGGAGAGGGGCTGTGGGTGGAGCCTAGGGCTTAGGGGGACATGCAGAGGGTGAGGTGCTCTGGAGAGTTTAAGGGCCCAGTCTCCATGGGATGTTCAGGGAGCCTGAGGGGGAGACCCCCCAGACATGCACCATGTTCATGCAGCGCCTATGTGTGAATGAGAAGAAAACAGCCCTTCCTCGAGACCCACACCTCTAACTGCTTGAAAACTGTTATCATAAATCACATGTCTGCAACTGTATCCCTTGAGCTGTGACACTGCTACATGGCTGCCCTGCTCCAGAGGACAGTGGGCTGGAGGCCCTCGCAGGGCACTGTGGGCAGCTGCCCACCTGGGTCCTCGGGAGGGATGACCTGCCAGGCCACCAAGGCGAGCTCTGGGGACTGGGGGGTGCTGAAGGCCTGGATCTTGCAGGCGGAAAAAGGTAGTGGTGATGAACCCTGACTCACTGGCCAGACAGCCTTGGTTCAGATGCCCACTCGGCCACGCACAGGCAAGAGACAATCTGCAATGCCTCAGTTTCCCTATCTCCTCAATGGGCACATTAAGTCTCAACCTCACAGGGTCCTCCTGAGGATTAGGCAGGTTAACTCATATAAAGCACTTAGCATGGGAGCAGTAACAGGAAAATTGTTAAAGAATCGGGGGGACTTCCCTGGTGGCGCAGTGGTTAAGAATCCGCCTGCCAATGCAGGGGACATGGGTTCGAGCCCCGGTCTGGGAAGAGCCCACATGCCGCAGAACAACTAAGCCTGTGCACCACAACTACTGAGCCTGCGCTCTAGAGCCCGCGAGCCACAACTGCTGAGCTCACGTGCCGCAACTACTGAAGCCCGCGCGCCTAGAGCCCGTGCGCCACAACAAGAGAAGCCACCGCAATGAGAAGCCCGCGCACCGCAACAAAGAGAAGCCCCCGCTCACCGCAACTAGAGAAAGCCCGCGCGCAGCAACGAAGACCCAACGCAGTTGAAAATAAAATTAAATAAATAAATAAAATATGTAACTAAATAAACTGTTAAAAAAAAAAGTGCTGTCCAGGGGGTGCTGCAGGGGAGACATCTGGGCCCTCCCCGAAAGGAGGATGGAGACCTCCACCCTGGTGGTGGAAGTGGTAGAGGAGATGACTGAGACCAGGGGGGTCATAAGTAGGTCCAAGGGCCATGGATGCCTAAGGCACCCAGGTCCTGGGGAGAAGATGGGACCCCCCCCATATGTAAGAGGGAGAGGATGAGATCTGGGGGGTGTGGATGCCCAAGTCCTGGGGGCTGGGAGGTGTGGATTCCCGGGTTCCAGGGATGTGGACACACAAGTTCCAGGAGGGCACAGCTCAGAATGCCTGGCTCCCAAGTGATGTGTACTCACTCCCACATCTGGGGGCTGGCATGTGAGGATGACCGGGTCTGAGGAAGGGACACTAGGCCCTTGAGGCCCCCACCTTGTGGGCGGCCTGGATTTCCTGGTGCACCAGCTCCTTGAGGGACGGTTGGCCCTCGCCAGGTGGCTGCGTGTACAGCTGTGCCCGGGTGATACCCTTCCAGGCTGAGTCCTCCGGCCAGCCCAGCCGCAGCATGGGCACCGGCTCCTCTGACTGTCCAGGCCAGTAGGTCAGGCTGCCCAAGCCCCCATCGGTGGCGGTGGCTCCCTCTGCTGCCCTGCTAGGCTCCTGCTTCGCTGCCGTCCAGTCCTCAGCCGTCGCCACCAGGCCCCGGAGCTCATCTCCACTCAGGAAGGGCCGCAGCCCCTCGCGCTGCACGCAGGCCTCAAACGCCTCCGCACCCTGGCTCAGCAGAGCCTCCAGCGCCAGCCTCTGGCCCTCGGAATACAGGAAGCTGGGAGTGGCCTCGGTCAGGGGCAGCTGCCCGGCCCCTGACTCTGTTCCTCCCAGTGCTGCCAGCTGGGAGGCTGCCATCAGGCCGTTCAGGTGGGAGGACGGAGAGGCTGGATGTCCAAGGGCTTGGCCGTCTCTGGGCACTGAGCATCTGGGGGTCTCCCGACAGAGTCTGTGTGGCCGTGCAAGGCAGGACAGCCCTAAGTCCAAATGGCTCCCTGCACTGTCCCTGGCTTGCCGTCCTGATAATCAGACTGCCCAAGTGACTAACCACCGGGTGCGTGGCTCTGCTCAGACCAACAGCCCACCGGCCATCTGAGCTTCCTGCCAGCCTCTGATGGTCTGGCTGAGCCTATGACTGGCCCTGCGTGTTGGTCAGGCTGACCACCTGACACTGTCTCCAACTGTGCGATCCATCAGCTGCCCATCTCTGCTCCCCGACACACCAGCCACCTCCAGCCTGCTGGCTACATGATGCCCCAACTGACCCTTCGGCTGGCTCAGGCTGACTTCCCCATCTTCAGGCAACAGGCTGTCTGCCCGTCTCTGAGCACCCAAGTGTCCCTAACTAAAGGCAGGGCGAGATGCCTGTTTCTCCCTGGCAGTCAGCACATCTAACTGACCCTCTCTGGCTGTCTCTTTGTCTGGAAGACACCGATTGCTTCCAACTGACACTCTCAGTATCTGACCGCCGAGTGGGGCACCCAGCTGGCTCCGTTAGAACCGGTTTCTCCCGACAACCAGCTGGCTGGCTCACCAGCGCTCACGGGCTGACCATCCCGGAAGACTTCTCTTTGAATCTCCCCTCTCAGCCTCGGAAGAATGCACTCCAGCCCTAAACCTCGGTATCACCTTCCCCAGCTGGGGAACTAGGTCTGTCTCCTCTGCCGGTTGAGGACTCTGCTCCCTGAGCGTTCACACCCACTCAGGCTGCTGCAGTGGTGGACGCCCTCTACAGGGGGTTTGATTATCATGGAACCAGCCCATCTAGATTGAGGGGCCGACTAACTAGCCACAGTTCCTCAGACGGCTGCCCCTGCCTGTCTCCTGGGCCACCAGGTTGTTTCTGGCTGTCCTCTAATCAATGCTGACTCCAGCCTGGATTTCTGCCTCAATCCCACTATCTCCTGCTATCGGACCATCCACTTATTCCTAAACAAGGAACACCCTGCGTCTCTCCCTCCCAAGACGCCCCTTTGAGGATCCTGACCCTGCCTCTGGTGGGTGGACCCCTGATCCCTGCCAACAAGCAGCCCTCCTTCCAATCCCAGCACCCCGTCTGCTCCCTTCCTCCAGACCGCAGCGACCAGCCCTGCAAAGAGAAGGACGGGGAATAAAGCCAGGCCACTCCCTCTCCCTCCTGCCCTCCCCAGACGCCCCCATTGCGTCCAGGCCTCCAACCCCTACCCCTCCTTCTCTTGCCTTTTCAGAGAACAGTCAGATCAAGGGCCTGGAGACCTCCTTTCATTTCTGCGGCTCTTCCGGCCGCCTCGCCTTATTCACCGGGTTTCTTCCCGGGATCCGGGGACCACGGCCCCTTGTGCAAACACAGGGGTAGGGCCCTCTGGAGACAGAGGACAGTAAGGTCCCAGCTCCAGGAACACACTCAACAGGCTTCGCCCAGAGACTGACGGCCCGCCTGACTCAAGCTTCGGGGGAGGGGGAGCGCATCACCTATTCTTACGTGCCCCCTCCGCCACGGCGGCCCGCCCCATTTATACTTCCTGGTCCAAGCCCCGCCAGCCATCCCGAGCAGAGATCCGGGAGGGGAGTGCGGTTCCTTTAAGAGTAGGCGCGGCTAACTGGAGAAAACAGCAGGTGCTTCACCACACACCTGGGAAAGAGGTGGGGCTTCGGCCTTAGATGGCTGCCAGGTCCCAACGGTGCAGCGAGGTCCAAGGGGGCCAACAGGCTTAGGGCAGTGACCACACACACCTGGGACGGTAGGCTCCGTCCCCCAGCACAGGTCCCCCAGCACAGCGGAAGGGGTTCACCCCAAAGGCTGGTCTCCCCAGAAAGGGGCGTGGCAACCATTCCCCCAAACAAAGGCGTTCTCACCGCTGGTTCTGATCCTCTCCCTCCCCCAACCCCGTTCCCCAATAATACACAAAAGGCCATTAGCATCCAAAATCTTTTTAATAACAAGGTAGGATCTGGGGTTAGTTCTTGTAGCCACGGCTGGCCCGTCGGCCTCTGGCGCGCTCGAACTTCCGGCCCTTGGAGCGTACATAGGGTCTGCAGAGAGAGAAGGGAGGGTGAGAAGAGGCACACATTACAGACAAGTGAGGGACGCCCCCGCCACCTGTCTGGCTGGGAGCTCAGAAGAGAGCTGCTTGCTCTAACAGAGAAGCACAGGGACACCAGAAGGGGGCTTCGCTCAACCCAAGCAGCCTGAGTGGTGACACCAAGTCCGCTGCTGGAAGAGCCTGGCAGCGCAGGAAGCAACACTGGCAGGAGTGGCTGCTGAAGCGCCTGCACTGGGCCCTGGGGCCATCCACCTGGGCGCCCCAGCGCTGGACAGAATGCAGGCCCCACCACAAAGACGGGGACAGCCCTGGGAGGCCTGCATCTGTGATGCTGGCTGTGCAGGGAGCTCGACACCCGAGGAACAGAACTTTAGGCAGTCTTGAAGGAAAAGCGGGTAAGAGGGTGGGGGACTTCTAGAGAGGCCTGAGGCTGGACTAGTGGGAGAAACAGGAGCAGCTGGAAGCGTGGCAACGCCTAGACCTGCAGGCTGGGGTCCAGGGCTAGGTATACTCACTTGGTGTGGCTATGCGGGGTTCCTGGGGCTTTGCCGAAATGCCGGTACACCTCTCGGCCCTTGCGAGGACCTGGGGAAGGGAAGGAAGCGGTGGCTCAGGCTGATCTGGGGGGGGGTGGGAGTGTCATTGACCGCCCAGGCCTGGCAAGGTAAAGGCTGCTAGTAGTCCCACAGCTCTTTACAGACCCCCTCAAGCCACTAAGCAGCACTCACCAGACAGGAGGACAGTGCCACAGCCCTTGGGCGAGTCCAGCGCCAACTGGTCGAAGGTGAGGATCTTGCCCCCCGCCTTGAGGATGCGGCTCCGGGCGCGGCTGCTCACTCGAAGAGCACACACCTGGGGACACAGAGGACAGGTGTGGCCAGAGCCCCCTGGAGGGCGACCCAGGGGCTGCTGGGACTTCCTGTCCACTGCCCAGGCCCAGCAGGAGTCCCAGCTGCTTCCTCGGCCCGATCACCAACACCACCAACTACTGGAGGCAGCTTCCTGAGCTCACGACAGCCATTCTTACCACTTTACTCCTAGAAACCCCTTTAACACCGCAACCTGAAGCTATTATGTATAAGGAAACTGAGGCACAAAGAAATCCAGGACTTTGTCCAGAGATTACAAAGTGGCAGAGAAATCCAGGTCTGAACTCTGGCTGTCTGGGTCCAGAGCGAGTACCATCAGCTGGGCCCCAGAAGGGGCTTGTCCAGGGATACCTGCTATCAACAATGTGAGGGACAACCCACCCCCCACCCTTCAACCCAGGCACGACGCCTGCCTTACCCAGAGGTGAGATGAGCCTGCCGGCGGCACGAGAAATTGAGCCGGGTCCACAGGAGCTCACCGTGACCCACCCAACACGCTCCTGAGCCCCCTCCCCGCTCACCTTCAGTTTGGGCACCTCCTGGACACGCACGTCGTCCGTTATAGTCCCCACCACCACAGCCGTTTTGCCTTCTCGGCCAGGAAGCTTCATCTTCCGAATCTGGGGCGGTGGGGATGAAATGCACATTAAACAAGTCCCTTGTGGTGGTTAAATCCAATCCCACCCATTCAGGCATCCCAAGAACCAACAGTTGTGTCCCGTTTGGGCTAAACCTACCCATGCCACACCTCTCAAGCTAGCACAAGCCTAATCTCAGGTCCAGTCTGGGAAAATCTCCAAAGAAAATACAAACAGATTCCTCCACGGTTCTCTCCTACAGAAAGCTTCTGACACAGAAGATGCTCTATAACTTGAAACCTCAGGAAGATCTCATAAAGCCACTGTAACCCACCCCCAGACACACACGATGAGAAGGAAAATGAGACCAAGAGGCCAAGCCAGTCCCATGCCCCCACTATTCAGCTACAATCAGAGGGTCAGAGCTCTGCACCCACCACTGGATGAGGTTAAGCCAGCTGATAGCCAAGCCGCTACCAGAGAGCTCCAAGCCCGCCCTTCCACCCGAAGTCCAGCTCCAGACACGATCCAGTCGCTCCCCAGGCTGGCTATGCCCTCCGCCTCAGCCCCTCACCATCCGGGAAAGGGACAGAGGTGGCCGGTTGCTGCGACTCATGAACAACCTCTTCAGCACAACTTGATTGAAGGTGGAGTTGGTTCGCCTGGCCAGAAACCTGTACAGCTGGAGGGGAAGGAAAACGAGCATTAAACCCGGGGCAGCCCACCCGCCAGCCCACCCGCCCCCCTCCCTCCCTCTCAGCTTTCTAACGAAGGGGCAAAGAAGTGACTTAGGGCTTTGCCCCATCCCGTTAAGCCCACGGGAAAGAGCTGGCCTAGGTCCCTCCTGGCCAGGGACCCAGAAAATCCCCCTCCCCACTGGTAAACCAGCCCAGAGGCTGAAAACACTGGAATCTCCAGAAGCTAAGGGAAAGCAGCAGAGATCTGAGCCTGCCCTGAAGGCCCCTGCAAGGAGCCCAGGACCAATACCAGCATGGAGGCTCTAGAACTTGTATTGATATCTCCAGGGTGGCCTTGCCTAGAGGGCTTAGGCCCCAACCTCACCTTGACCAACAGCCTTAAGTAGATGTCCTGGCTCTTGGGCTCCTTGCGTCGAACCTTTCGGTCCTTGTTGTGGCGGATGTCAACTCCCTGCAGGGGTGAAGGGAAGACCATGAACCCAACTCTGATCCGGCAGATTCCTCACCCCATAAACAGTTATTCCTCACCTCTAAGGAACAGCTACAGCCCCAGTCTCTGGAGACAACAAATCCCAGATCACCACTGGGAACCCTCTGGGAAAATACTTAAAACTCCCCGGGCCTCAAGTGACTTTGTTTAAAAAAAAAAAAGGAGGGGGACGCCTAATTCTACACAAAAAGCCTTCAACACACGGCACACAGCACCGTGAAAGACCTTAACACAGCAGCCGCGTTAACCCAAGTTTTTACTTTTTTAGAAACTATATTTTTCAACAACGTAAGTATTATTTAAGCTCCCAAACCTTGCTCCCATGCGTGGAGCGTTATCAAAAACATTTAAACCAAGGGCAGACTCCAAGTTCTTATAAAGGAAACGACCCTTTTTTCTAGAACTTACTCTGCATAGACCAACCCTAGAACGACCTCCTTATGAAGTATAGTTTCCCACAGTAGTGCTAAAACTGAAGGGAGCCCACGATTTCCACTACACCCCCTGCCTGCTTTCCTCCAAGTTTTTCAGGCTGTGTCATGAGTTATAAAGAACTACCTAATTATTAATTGTTCTCATTTATCCAGCACTTAATGTATGCAGGGACCCGTGGTGAGCACCTCCTTTGACTTATTTCTTCTCGAACTCACATCTTTGAGGCATAATTACTGGGTCTCCAATTAACAGATGCTTTCTGCGCACAGGAATGCTGATACGGTGGGTAGGGAACTGAGACTCGAACGGAAGCCTGCCTGGCCCCCACACTAGGGCACCGGACGCTTGACACCCCCCCACCCCGCCCCAGAACCCAGCTTTTCAGGCTGGGGAGTGACGGATCCAGGGACAGCACAGGCAAGAGTGGCTGTGGGAGCAGCGCCTGGGTCCGAATCCTGGCTCCGCCACTTACTGGCACTGTGACCCCGGTCATATTACTTAACCTCCTTGCCCCTCGATTTGATCATCTATTCGATAGGACCTATAATACAGAATTATGGGAGGGGCGGGAGGTTGAGAACGCCCATTCCTGGTCTTCGGGCTCCCAAAATAGCTCCCCACAGCGGGAGTCGCCTCCTTCGAACACCCCGGAACCCCTGCCTCACTCTGGAACGTCCCCAGCGCGAGACCGCGGCGGATGGCAGCGGATGATCAAGCCCCGAACGCCGCAAAACGCGCTCACCATGATGGCGCCTCCTCCTTAGCCAGGTCCGGAAAGAGAGAACAGAACTAGGATGGGCGGGGAAAGCCTTCAGCGAGTGGCGCCTACGTGACGTCACACGGGCGCGACGCGGCGCTCTACCTTGACTCATGTCTCTCTATGGTGAATCGGAGGACCAGCTAGATGGGCGATTCCGGAATTGGGTGGAGGAACATCTAAAGGGGAACAAGCGCTACGCCAAGGAGGGAAGGGCCAGCACGTCGGAGGCCTCTCTGGCCCTATCCAGTCCCTGTTCTTGATAGTCTTCCGGCAGAAGGGGATCTCGGAGCCAGAGAGATGTCGCGCGGAGCTAGGAAGACGTGTCGTGCGGTGACGCTCTGGCCCGACGCCGAAGGCCTCTCTGTGGCTCCCGGAGGACCTAGAGGGCCGAGTATTGGAGGTGAGGAGGCGGGGCTGGCGGGGCTAGTCGGGACCTCGGGAAACCTCTGACCTCAGGCTTTGGGCGTTTCCCTATCAGGCTCACATCTGCCTTATCTCGTGCTGCGCTTCCCAGCTTCGGCCGCAGCTCGGGAAGTCTTACTTGAGGTCTAATCCGAGATCTTGCTGCAGCCCAGTCTATGGCATTCTGTATTTCCACCTTTTAGGTTCAGCTTCTCCCTCTGCCCCCAGATGGCCCTTCCCTGAACCCTACTCAGCCCCTGCTACCTGGAGGCTGCTTTTCCCAGCCGAGAGATTCAAGTGGCCCAGCGGGTTCGGTTTGAGGGACGTGCAAGGTACTGGAGCACAGAGGAGGCAAACTGAGGCCCCCGGGGCTTGGGGGATGGGGTGGAGAGAGGGATGAGTAAAAAACTCCTGAAAGAGAGGGGAGGAGAGACTCAGGGAGACAGAGATTCAAAGAGGAGGAGGAATGGAGACCCAGAAGGGGAGTGGAAAGAGACCAAGGGTGGCGAAATGGTGACCCGGGGAGTTAGAAGACCTAGAAAGAGAGGGAAGGTAGAGATCCAAGGAGGAGAAGAGACAGAAAGATGGTGATACCATCTGTAACCGAATTCAATTCTTGGCTTTGCTACTTACTAATGGTGTGACCTTGGGCAACCTCTCTGTGATTTGGGGCAAGTCGTGTAACTTCTCTGTGCCTTACTTTCCTTATCTGCAAAAAGGGGCGTCTATTGCTGTTATTAGCCTTTACTGGATGGGACCAGATGGACTGGTTGGGGCAGTGATGAAGCTGACTTGTCCACTTGTTTTCGTGGAAGCCCTGCAGCACTGCTAGCTTGGCCTCCTTTCCTCTGCCCTTCATGCTCCTACAGGCCAGGCCTGCACCATGAGGCCTGACTCCTTGTCCATACCACCTTCCCATGGCCTCCGACCCAGGGCCAGGGTCTTACTGATGTGATAACACAGCAGAGGGCCTGCAGATGAATGGACACCTTGAAGCAGAGGAGCAGCAGGACCAGGTAAGTGTCCATCTGAAAGTCCAGATCACCATACGATGGAACACAGTTTCCTTCTCTCCTCCTTGACCCTGTTCCTTGGTCTTTGAGTCCCGGCCTCTTTGATTACTGTATCTGTCTTTCTTTCCCCTGGAGCCCTAAGCACACGCACTGTGTTTCCCTGTCTCTCCATCTTTCTGGGTTTCTGTCCCTCTCTCCGGGTTACTTTTTGGCACATGTTATCTGGTGCTGTTGTTGTTCTCAGTTGAACACTAGGTACATTGATTGGTCACCTGATATTATTCTTGCCATGATTTCTTTCAATTTCATCGTGTCTTTGCCTCTCTGTATCTCTGTCAACATCTTTGCTTTCTGTCTCTTGGCTTCAGTTCCTCTCAGCCTCTAATATTCTCTCTGTCCTTCACCCCTGACCTAGAGGTCTCTCTCAGATACTCCCAGTCTCTCTCCTGAGTCTCCGTCTTACCGTGTAACTGGGTCATTCACTGGGCAGATATTTATGTCATGCTGCCCCCACGCTAGCTTGTGCCCAAGGTAAATAGTTTGTGAATTAATGAGCCTCTCCTCCCTGGTTTTCATTCTGAAAGTGTCTGTCCCCATGTCTCGCTGTGTCCATCATTTTCTGGGTTTTCTTATGTCCTTACCTTGCACATTTTTTAAAATCTATTATTTATTTTATTTATTTATTATTTTTGGCTGCGTTGGGTCTTCGTTCCGTGGGCTTTCTCTAGTTGCCGCGAGGCATGTAGAACCCATGGCTCGAACCCATGTCCCCTGCATTGGCAGGCGGATTCTTAACCACTGCGCCACCAGGGAAGCCCACCTTGCACATTCTTAATTCCATTGTCTTTGTCTTTTTGTTTGTATCTCTGCTTTTCTTTATGTCTATCTCTCTGACTCTCTGTAACTGTCTGAAAAAGAGACAACACTCTCTCTTCAAGTCTCTTATTGCCTCTGACTCTGGTTCACTGTTCCCTTTTACTGTTTTTGCATATCTCTGGGTCTTTGTTAACTGTGTTAGGGTCATTCTCTATCTGCAGTTAAAGACCTTCTCCCCCTTGCCCCTTCTCTTTATAAAGTCAAAGGATGGGAGAGGCCCACTTGCCCTCAACAAAGATGGCGACAGGGGCTCTGGCCATGCTCCCGTGAAGCCGCCTCTGCTGCGCGTGTGCCCTCACCTACAATGGCGGCTGATCTCGCGAAGCGCGCTACCCCGCCCAGTTCTCCCGCTCTCCCGCGGCAGGCCCCTGCGCCAAGCTCGCGAGTCTGCTGGCCCCGCCCCCGCACGCTCTTATTGGTGCAACTTAGGCCGGCCGCGCGGCCATTGGCTGAGCGGATGCACACCCTCCCCCCCACCCCTGGGTCTGATGGGGGGCAGTTGGTGCTGACTTGAGTGGCCGCCTGGAGGAGGATCCGGCGTGTGAGGAGGGTCTGGGGTGTCGGGACAGGGACCCGAGTTAGGACGACTGAGGGAGCAAGAGGAACAGATACGCAGGCCCGGGACTTGGGTACTAGGGGTGTGGGATGGAGATGGAGAGCCAGAACCAGGACTGAGGGATCCAGGAATGAAAACCCAGGTCTGGAACTGGGGTGGGGATGGAGGGCCGGGACCCGGGGAACCGGAGACAGAGACTCAGGCTTATGGATTGGGGGGACCTATGGATGGAGACCCAGGCCCTGGTCTGGGGTACATGGAGGGTGGAGAGAATGGAGACCAGGCCAGAGACCTGGGGACCTAGGGACCAAGGCGCAGGCCCCAGAACTGGGGGAGATCTAGGGCTCTAAGTGGGGGGGGGAGTCAATGCAAGTTTAGGGGTGGGGCTTGAAGAGCTGCCCAGGGTAGGGGGCAGAGGTGGCTCCTGAGAGTGAGTCCACAGATGGGGGTGTGTCTGGGGCAGTTCTGCGCCTGGGGAAGGTGAGGGGCAGGACTGATAGGTGACTGGGTGGGCGGGGCAGTGGGGAACAAAGGTGAGCTGGAAGGAGGAGGCAGAAACTGGGCAGAGGGCAGGGGGAGGGGACCTCAGGCCCAGCTCCCACTCTCTCCCTGGAGAGCAGGCGGCCAGACACCCAGGTCAGTGCTTGAGGTCCAGCTCTTGGCTCCTGTCCCTTGCAGGTGCCTGCGTGTGGCTCCTCTACCTCTCTGACCCCTTAGTTGCTCCATGTCACACCCCTTTCTCAGTTTCCCCAGCTACTACATCCCCTACCTCTTGCCTCTCCTGTCTGCTCTTTCTCTCCTAACTCTGTTGTCTGACTCTCAGAGGGCCTCTGGAGCCCCTAAACTCTCACTCTGCTCCCTAAGTATCTTTCATTATATTAGGTTTCATCTCACTGAAGCTGTTTGTCTCCTCTCAGTGTTTCTCTGGCTCTCAGACCTTTTTCTTTGTGTCTCAGTGCCTCTTCCTTGTTACTTTCTCCATCTGGAGTTGACTGTGTGTAGGTGTGTGGGGGTGTTTGTGTGTGTGTGTGTTCTGTTGTGTTTTTCTCTACCTTTGTATGTCTATTTATATGTCTCCACCATCCTGATCTCTCTCCTTTGCATTATTTTTCTCCAAAGTCCTTAATTGTCATCCAACACGATATGTATTTTATGTCTATCTTGTTTTCCTGTCTTCCGATTGGAATATAAACTCCACGAAGGCAGGGATTTTTGTCTGTTTTATTCCCTGCTGTGTTTGCTGGGCCTGGCACCATGATTGGCACATACTACTGAATAAATATTTGGGGAATAAAGGAATGAATATTTGCATGCCTGGGTGTGGACCCTCCAGGATGCTGGCCTTCCTGGCCAGCTGACCTCTGCCCTGCGTCCTCAGTCTTCCCACACTTTGTCTGGGCCTGTCTGGTGCTCCCATCTTGCCTGTCAGCACCCCTCATTGTCTCCTCTTATCCACAGGCCCTGCCCCTGCTTCCCTCTGCCCACCATGGGGGTCCTGGACTCTGACTCCTACCCTCCTTCCTCCCCACAGAGGCCAGAGCAGGAGCTGACCTGGAGCTGGGGCCACAGGCCTAGGAGCGCCCTGGACAGGGTCAAGGCCATGGCCCCCCCACCGCCACTGCCATTGACCCCCAGCACCCCACTCCTGCATGGCGAGTTTGGCTCCTACCCAGCCCGAGGCCCACGCTTCGCCCTCACTCTCACACCACAAGCCCTGCACATACAACGGCTGCGGCCAAAGCCTGAAGCCCGGCCCCGGGGTGGCCTGGTCCTGCTGGCTGAGGTCTCAGGCTGCTGCACCCTGCGGAGCCGAAGCCCCTCAGACTCAGCAGCCTACTTCTGCATCTACACCTACCCGAGGGGCCGGCGGGGGGGCCGGCGCAGAGCTGCACGCACCTTCCGGGCCGACGGGGCGGCCACCTACGAGGAGAACCGTGCTGAGGCCCAGCGCTGGGCCACTGCCCTCACGTGTCTGCTCCGCGGACTGCCACTACCTGGGGACGGGGGTGAGGCACTGGGCGGCCTCTCTGTCCTAAGGCCACCTTGGTGTCTCCGCAGATCTCCCTCTGCGGCATCTCTGTGGGCATCTCTGTCTCTACTTTTCTGTGTGTCTGTCTGTGTGATGTGTCTCTCTGGGTTCATACTGCAAGAGTGATGCACAGACAGGGATGGGCACAGAAGGCAAAATCCCAGGCAGAGAAGGATTTGGGTCTGCTGCTCTCATGAGATTTCTGTCTCTGTCCCCTCCCCCCTTTCATGGGTCCTGACCACAGATGAGTCAGAGGCTCCCGGGCTGGTGAGAGCAGCCAAGTGAGATATGCTCAGTCACCACCCTGGATGACAGGCACTCGCAGAGGTCCCCTGGGGCGTCTCAGGAGCCCAGAGGTGGCATCTAATCCAGCTGTGGGGATTCAGAGGAGGCTTTCAGGCAGAGGCCCCCACCTAGGGTACTCAGTTGGCACAGGAAGGTAAAGGTTCCAGGGTCCCCAGCCGGCAGGCCTTCCTTGGTCCTGGCTGGCTGGGGGTGAGGCCCTCACAGTGGAGTAACCTGTTCCTGGGTTCCAGGTGTTTGGGGGTGTGGAAGGTGGAAACCACAGCTCCCCCCCCCCCCCCCCCCGTGAGTCCAAAGGGCTCTGGGATTAGACACCGGATCCCTGCCTTTGTCTCAGCACCTGGGAGGGGGGCGGGCTGTACACCTGGGCCTGAGCTGGTGAGGCCGGGGAAAAAATAACTTTCAACTCCCAGCAGGTTTTGATGCCAGCCCTCCACCACCTCCACTGGAGGCTATTTGCAGTTACTGGTTCTGAGGTGAGGGGCTTGGTGCCCTGACCTCTGTAGACTCCTTCTCCTCTCTCTGCAGAAATCACCCCCGACCTTCTGCCAAGGCCTCCCCGATTGCTCCTATTGGTCAATCCCTTTGGGGGGCGGGGCCTGGCCTGGCAGTGGTGTAAGAACCATGTGCTGCCCATGATCTCTGAAGCGGGGCTGTCCTTCAACCTCATCCAGACAGGTAAGGGCAGTGTCATGATAGAGGCGGGAGCTGGGGGCTAGGACTCCTGAGTCCTGGGGAGTGGTGGTTGGTCAGGGATGGAACAGCCTGCCTCACTTCCTGGTTCCCCACCTTAGAACGACATAACCATGCCCGGGAGCTGGTCCAGGGGTTGAGCCTGAGCGAGTGGGATGGCATCGTCACCGTCTCCGGAGATGGGCTGCTGTATGAGGTAGGGTAGGACCACCCTGCCCCAAGCCTGAGCCCTGCGGGACTGCGGAGGCCAGGGCCAACATGCAGGTGTCTGGTCTCCCACCCTTCAGGTACTGAATGGACTCCTAGAACGCCCTGACTGGGAAGAGGCCGTGAAGACCCCCGTGGGCATCCTCCCCTGTGGCTCGGGCAACGCACTGGCAGGAGCCGTGAACCAGCATGGGGGGTAGGTGGGAGGAGCCCTCCTGGGATAACAGGGACCTGGTACATCTGCACCACATCTTCCCCTCAGCCAGGTCAGTCTGGCTGAGGGATGCTCCCCACACCCCCCAGACATTTTTGCCTGTCTTGTTCTTAGCTGTCTCCCTAGTGCCTAGAACTGTGCCTGGCACACAGGAGGCACTCAGTGAATGCTTATGGAATGAAAGAACTGACAGGGAACCTGGCTCAGTAAGAAGAGTCCGTCTGGAGGTGGCCAAATGGCTGCGGGCAGGCCCCAGGACATGCCCGGCCTCCTCTCCCCATTGTCTGCTGCCCCACCCGTCTGTGTGTTTCTCCTCCCCGCCTGGCACTGTGTATCTCACCCAGCCTGTTTGCTCTTTCCCACCGTATCCGTCCATGTCTGACTGTGAAGGTTTGAGCCGGCCCTGGGCATTGACCTGCTGCTCAACTGCTCCTTGCTGCTCTGCCGGGGTGGCAGCCACCCGCTGGACCTGCTCTCCGTCACTCTGGCCTCCGGCTCCCGCTGTTTCTCCTTCCTGTCTGTGGCCTGGGGCTTTGTGTCAGATGTGGACATCCAGAGCGAGCGTTTCAGGGCCCTGGGCAGTGCTCGCTTCACGCTGGGCACAGTCCTGGGCCTCGCCACACTGCACACCTACCGCGGCCGCCTCTCCTACCTCCCTGCCACGGTGGAGCCCGCCTCACCCGCCCCTGCCCATGGCCTGCCACGTGCCAAGTCAGAGCTGACCCTAGCCCCCGGCCCAGCTCCACCCGTGGCCCACTCACCCCTGCACCGCTCAGTGTCTGACCTGCCCCTGCCCCTGCCTCAGCCTGCCCTGACCTCCCCTGGCTCACCTGAACCCCTGCCCATCCTGTCCCTCAACGGTGGGGGCCCAGAGCTGGCTGGGGACTGGGGTGGGGCCGGGGATGCTCCACTGTCCCCAGACCCACTGCTGCCCTCGCCGCCTGGCTCCCCCAAGGCAGCTCAACTCTCACCCATCACCGAGGGGGCCTCAGAAATGCCAGCATCCTCTGGGCTCCCACCTCCCACCCCTGATGCCCGGGTAGCCATCTCTGCTGGGGGCCCACCTGACCACCTGCTCCCTCCTCTAGGCGCTCCACTACCCCCAGGCTGGGTGACAATGGAGGGGGACTTTGTGCTTATTTTGGCCATCTCACCCAGTCACCTGGGGGCTGACCTAGTGGCAGCGCCCCACGCGCGCTTTGACGACGGCCTGGTGCACCTGTGCTGGGTGCGTGGTGGCATCTCACGGGCGGCGCTCCTGCGCCTGTTTCTGGCCATGGAGCGCGGTAGCCACTTCAGCCTGGGCTGTCCGCAGCTGGGCTACGCTGCGGCTCGTGCCTTCCGCCTTGAGCCGCTCACGCCCCGCGGCGTGCTCACGGTGGACGGGGAGCAGGTGGAGTATGGGCCATTGCAGGCGCAGGTGCATCCCGGCCTCGGTACTCTGCTCACGGGTCCTTCAGGCTGCCCTGGGCGGGAGCCTTAACTCCAACCAAGCTTGGAACTCTCCCGGAGCGGGGCTTACATTCCTGAGGGGGCGGAGCCTGAGCTAGGGGTCGTGGTGTGGCTGCTAGAGTCAGGGCGGAGGCTACAGTGGTCCTGCCTGGTCTCAGGATTGCGCCCTACCCTAGGGGACCAGAGGTGATGCTGGAGGATGTCCCGAATTCCGGGGGTTGGGGTCCTGACGGTCACGGAGAAATGGGCTCGCCCCAAGGGTAGTGCCTGATCAACGAGGGCGGGTTCTCCAGACCCTCGAGAACGGCTCGTAGAAAGCCAGGTCGGCTGAGGGCGGAGCCTGTCTTAACGCGTAGTCCAGTGACGTGACCTGGAATGTACGGGCTGGGGAGGCCTTAGATAACCGGCCCCGTCTACTCCGGTGTCTCCACCAAGCTGGCCAATCAGCCCAGGAGGGGCAAGTTCCCCGGGCGGCGCTCCGATTTGCACTAATGTCCCTCCCCCCGTGGGTGGGGGCGGGGAAGTTCGTTTCCTCCGTCTTCTGTGCGTCCCCCAGCCCCAATCTTCAAAGCAATTGAAAAGGTCTATGCAATAAAGGTAGTGGCTTCATTCCTCTCAGGCCCTCGCCCCTTCCTCCATCCAGCAACCCGTGGGAGGGAACAGACTCTAGGCACTTCCAGCAGCTCCTGCCTTTTATGGACCGAAGCCCAGACCTGCCCGTGGACTGCGGCCAGCGTGACCCGCTGGCCTTGAACTGGGGCCAGGGAGCTGCCTCCTCCCCCACGACAGCTGGCTCTGGGGTTCTCAAGATTTATTCAGGATCGTGTTAACGGAGGCGGTGGGAGGATGGGGTCCCCGACGTGCCGGGGGGCACACACTGAGGACCTTCCCCGCCCCCGCGAGGGAGCGGGGAGGCTCACTTTTTCTTAAAAATATAAATGTATTTATCTGCATCATCACATCCCTGGGGCACCCAGCTGGCCGGCCCGTGGGCCACAGGGCGGGGAGGGAAGAGGGCGTCAGGGCGCAAGTCTGAGTGAGGCGGAGGAGAGCTCCACCTGTTGGGGTGGGGGCGGCCTCACAGGGCTCCGTGCTGGGCCTGGTAGCGGGACAGCACGGCGCGGTAGTGGGACAGCTCCTGGCGCACGGCCACCACCTCCTGCCGTAGCAGGGCGTTCTCCTTCTCCAGGAAGGCCGCCCGCACCGATATCTGGTTCTCCTTGAGCCTCCGGGCGTCGCGGGACCGCTTGGCTGCCTCGTTATTCTTGTACCGCCGGCTCCAATACTTCTCATCCTGGATGGGTGGGAAAGCACTGAGGTCCAGAGGGGCCCCGGCCCAGCGAGAGAAGGGAGGAGGAGCTTTGCTTCTGACTTCAAGGACCAGAGTGCACCTAAGAAACCTACCCCCCACCCCCACCCTGGGCTGCTGCTCACCCAGCAGTGGGGCCTAGAGGATACCCGATCTCCCCTGAATGGGTACCCAAGGATCTGGCCTTCTAGGGCCCCGGCTGCTATGGACAGCAGGCCCCTAGCAACAGCTAAGGCATGAGATAGCCTCCCACCCCAAGCAACTGAGCTTCAAGTCTCCACTGTGCAGAGGAGGCCCAGCTCTTCTCACTTGACAAAAGGCCTGCAGTTAGCTCCCGGTTTGCTAAGGATTCTTGTTCCCTAGCAACAAGACCTTCAGGGTCTGAAGACTTCTCCCATTGAAAAGCACTGCCCTATACATCACCTTTACAGATCCTGGTTGCTAAGGAAAGCCTAGGTTCCCTAGTGATGGGGTTTGGTGTCCCATAAAATCCTCTCAGAGCTGGGCCCTTCTGACCTTGCTGCCAAGGCAACCTCACCCCTCATTAGCAAACAAAAGTGAGGTATAAGTGGTCCCAGTGACCACAGCCAGTCTCTGACCCACTGGCTTTGAATAGAGGCCAGGGAGCTGCCTCCTCCCCAACAGTCCCTGGTTGCAAATGGGCCTATCCTGAGACCTCCCCACACCATTATGTTTAGAGTTCTCCAGTCCTGGAATTGGGCTGTGGAGGAGGACCACTCCTTAGTACAAGGACGACCCAGAGCTCTGAAAGATACCCCTCCATCCCCATTTCATTAAAGCCTAGTCCCTGCTAGCTAGGGTAAACCCACTCCCTAGCAACAAGGCCTCATGGCAAGAGAAACCACTGGTCTAGATTTGGTTTACAGGCCAGTACTCACTGCTTCAAGTAGTTGTGTCTTACACAAGGACACGCCAAAGTCTGTGAGACAAGCCCAAGTACTTCTTGTTAGGGAAGAACCCAGGACTGACAAAGACAGAATGCTAGAGAGATGCAGTCACTGCCCAAAGCACCCCAAATCAGAATGTGGCCCTGGCCGCTAATGAGAACCTGAGGCCTCTTAACAGTGAGTCCAGAAAACAAGGCCTAGAGGGGCTGGCAAAGCTTCATCCTAGGCAGATGCAGTTGCCCTGAAGGATGCCCCAGCTCAGAGATTCAAGGACCAACCCCTGCCTAGCTGGCTGCTCAGAAGAAACAAGCTGATATCACATTCCTAAAGGATGCTATCCTTAGCAACTGGGCCTGGTAGAGCCCGAAGCCTGCCCCAATGAGGGTGTTGGGTCCAACCGACAGGAGAAGCTCCAAGCCTGTAAAACTGTCCCAGCAGTGCTGGCTGAGTCCGAATCCCACAACGATACGGTTTGCACAAATCTCAAGCCCAAACCTCTGTCCCTGTGCAGCCCCTGGCCAAGGAGGACTGGTCCTTAGCTGTAGGTTAGGAGAATGTGAGCTAATCCCAAGTGAGAAACCCAGGTCTGACTAAAGAAAGGGCCACCGCTGGCTCTGGAGCCAGCACCCACGAAGCCTGCGTCCTACACCCAGCAATGCTCACCTTCTGCTCCTCTGGCACCTGGATCTTCCGTGCCTTCTTCATGATTGGCTGGGGCTTAAGTTCCTCCTCTGAGAAGCGATGTCTCCGAGGGTCAAAGGTCTCATGGCCGGGAATACTTGACAGGGCTAAATCAGCTGGGTCAGGTTCAAAGGTCATCAGCACCTCCACCGTGTCTGGGTCCACAGGGCTGGGTGTGTCCCGAGAGGTCAGGCCTTGGGGAAATAGAATGTGCCACCTGAGTGTGTATTTATTTTGGGGAGGGGGTTCCCAGAGGCTACCCCCTGCTCAGGTATCATATCCACCACAAGGAAGGCCCTTATGGGGTTTAACATAAAGCCTGCCAGGGATCAACCTCCCTAATATAAAATATGAAGGTTCCTTAAGCCACAAAGATGCTTAGAAATCATGAAACCAGCTCCACTTTTACACACAGGAACACTGAGGCCCAATCATATGTGACTTGCCCTAAGTAACACAGGAACCTCAATTATTGCTTCTAAAACCTCAGGACTTCAGAGTTACAGCGTTAGCTTCCTTCCCTATAGTCCTACCCTTCTTAACTGAATCCCCAAACAAAGTCTAGACCCCCCGCTGTTCAGAGAAAAGGAATTTAATGCACCGAAAAGACCTCAGGTTAGCTCTTTAAAGAGCTGCTAAGTCCAAACAGTTAGGGACAAGAAGCATAAAGGGCTCTGAGGTTCCAGGTTGGTTCAAGCGTAGGAGAGGCCTGTACCTTTAAGAGAGAGCCAGCTGGGGCCAACCGAGGACACAGGTTCAAGGCCGAGTCACGTGCTGGCGCCTGCTTTCCCGCCCCGCCCCCCTGCCGCCACGGGCGCCCTCCTGTTCCCCAGTCCCGCCCCCTCCCGCGTGACCGCGCGTGCGCGAAGCACGAAGCACGGAGGAGGGAGGAGAGGACTCACGTGGCGCGGGAATGTGCGACTGGGAAGGGGAGGGCCCTGGTCCTGCCCGGAGGTCGGACCAGGAGCAGGTGTGTACAGGAATCCCCAACCTGCAGTCCGCCCCTGGCTACCCCAAGGTGCCAGATGGAGCACACCTTTCCTCTTGCTCCCTGGGGTCTCCCAGCTCGAACCTTTCAACCGCCAAGGATCCAGACCCCTCTGCTCTCTAGGGAACACTCGAGAACCGACCCCCTCGATATTCTCAGGCCCCAAACGTCCTCGCCACTAGGATATACACGATTCTGGGACCCCAAGCCCCTACCCCAGGAATATAGAAAGCTCGGTCCTTGCCCCAATGGAAGACCCAGGATGAAGGTCCCTTCTGAAGGACTCCGGGACCCGGGGCGCCAGCCCCTCTCCACTGGGATGGGGGGGCCGAGGAGGCAGGGCTGCCAGTCCCTTTTGTCCTGGGGAAACAGAAGTCTGTGTCCGGCCCTCGTCTTCCTCCCTCGTAGAGGCCTAGGATTTCCGGTCCTACCCCAGTTCCACCGCTTCCGGGTCCAAATTCTGGGGTGCAGTCCACTCCCCAGTAAATAACTCCACTGTCCTGGGACCCCAATCCCTACTCCTCGAGTATCCAGAGCCTTTGTCCCTCATGTCCCACGTAAAATTCACACGACCTCACCACTGGGCAGGCTTCCTGGAACTTGGGGTCCCAAGTCCCTCATCTCCTATAGGTCCAGGATACGCAGTTCCTGATCCATTAGGGGACACAGAATCCGGACTCCTCTCCCGACATCTCCCAATTAGGGGACCCGGAATTCGGGCATGCAGCCCCAGTCCCACCTTCCTGACCCCCAGATTCTCACACCCCCGCCCTCTGGAGTCCAAGCCCCGCCCAACCAGGGCCCTGCCCCGCCCTAGCCGTCGCACCTGCGCGGTGGCCGCCGGCGGCCCCGAGGGCAGCCCGGGCGGGGGCGTGCCCGGGCGAGGAGCGAGGGGAAGCCGAGCCGCAGGAGCCGGGCCCTGGGGAGGGTGCAGGTGTGCGCACGGGCGAGGGCGCTGGCGACGGGCCGCCGGGGGGCGGCGGGCTGGGAGGGAGCCCATGCTCCAGCAGGAAGGCGTCCAGGTCCACGTACTCCACGTCGCCGAACGGCAGCGTCCGCTCCCACAGTAGCGGCGCCAACAGACCCGGGCCGGGCGCAGCCCCAGGGCGTCCCCGTGGGGACCCGCCGCCCACTACCGCCCCAGCTGAGGCATCCGCAGGTCCCGCTGGCTCCAGGCCCGGCCCGGGGACCGTGGCTGCCGGCGGGGCCGCCTTGCGCTCCTTTTCCTTCAGCAGACCTGCGGGCCAGGGAAAGCGGGCAGGGTGGGGAGGAGGAGAAAGACGGAGATGAAGAAGCGACTCCGAGAGGAGAGAGACACGAGGAACGAGGAGATGGAGCCCCACACCGCAGAGATCCAGAGAGAGGGGGGGCAGGAGGGAAGTGGGGGAGAGACCCGGGAGGGAGGGCAAAGACCCAGAGAGAGGAGGGGACAGAGGCTCAGAGAGGGAGAGAGACCCAGAGAGAAAAGACAAGAGACGGGGGTGGCGGACCGAGAAAGGGATAGAGAGGAAGGGAGACTCAAAAAGAGGGGAGGACAGGGACGCAAAGAGAGAGATGGGGACAGAGACCCAGGAAGGGATAGACACACAGAAGGGGGATGGAAGTTCAGACAGAGGTAGGTGGAGGGTTGGGCAGGAGAGATTTTAAAAATGACAGCTCTGTTAATTCCTCTGTAATCTACAACCCCCCCCCACTCTCTGCGCACTGTACCCCCTCTTCCCTGCCCCCACAC